TGCTATAAAGAATGGAGAAGGTGATAAGAGCCAGGAAGTAGAGTGTTAGAAGAGGGATCAAGAATGATTCAAAATTCCAAGAATGGTTGCAAAAACACTCATTATATAAAGAGACGTCTTGTTAAACAATGTTCAAAAAGGAAAGAAAGCTTAGAGTTTGATATTAGAAGATCATAATTTTCTTTGGGAGGATACAGTAACCTGTAGCACTAACTGTTAAAAGAGATGGGGAAGTCAACAGAATTACACTTCAGTCCTGAGTCAGAGAGGTCAATGGCAGAAGAAAACACATTGTCATTTATATTATGTACCAAGAACAAAACTTAGCTTGTATGAAAACATTTGTGTCATCTGTTATGTATGGAAGTGACTAAGGAAGACAGATGAAACAACATTGGCAGTTCACTCCTGCATAGGTCTACTTAGAGATAAGTCTCACTGAATTAAATGGGATTTACATTTGAGTTGTAGCTCAGTATGAATTCTGGGTAATTTCACGATTTAGTTTGTAATAACAAAGACTTGAAACAGACAAAGAAAATATTGTTGACATAATTTGGACAATATACTATTTTACTGAATCTTTCTGTTATATTTTACAATTACAAAACATCTAAATGTCTTCTTTATGAAAAGACAGCTCTTCTCTAATAAGAACCAGTGATGGCTTGATTCCAGCATTATTATTATTATTATTATTATTATTATTATTATTATTATTATTATTATTATTATTATTATTATTATTATTATTACATCATCATCATCATCATCTATTCTTACTATAATACTAGTATATTTTTACACCGAGCTACAAGATTTCAGCCCTGTGATAAAGCTGCAAATAACCTCTATATTAAATCATTTGTATGACAGAGATTTCCAGAGATGAGCATCACAGCACGATCATCTACATGTTTACTCAAAATAATGCCCAGCTGAGTTCAGTGAAATGTCCTCTGAAATAAAAAACATAGACCAATGTTCCGCCGATTTTAGTGAAATATATTTCTGTCTAGCTACAAAAGAAAATACGTAAACCTTAGGATATTCTAAGTAGAAAGGGCAAAACATTTATTGGAATGAAGCAAATAATGCTCCTAGCTGGGTTCCAGGCCATTTTACATATTTGTTTCTGCCATTTAAATTCAGCACCAAAATTATCTAACTGCCTTTAACTGCCACTAAATTGTTGTGTAACCATTTTCCTGGAGATCAACATTTTTTTAAAAAATTTGCCAACTGTCAAAGGATCAGAAACAGCTGGTGTGCCATGACATTATGTACCACACCTCCTCTGCAGTATCTGTCCTGTTCTTCAAAATGTCACATGTCTTTTACGTTTCTAGCTTTCATGAGAACAGAGGACATTTCAGTAGCATCAGTTTTTGTACCCAGTGTAATTTCTGTTAAAATCATTGCTCCTATGCACAAATACGTAATTTGTCTCATATCTGTTAAGCACGTGTGTATGCTTAAGGTAAATGAACACTGCTATAGCAGGCTCCCTAGTATTCCCAGATGAAACTGCAGCCATGACACAGAGACAATATGTTAATCGAGAATGGAGGAGGTGAGGCAAAGTAACACATCAGAGTATTTTGATGATCCGTAATTGCCTTGCTATGTTACATTGACTTATCAATTTTTAGACAAATGTGGGAATTTATGCCTAAATTACATTTTTCTTGCAAAAAATATTATGTTCCTATACAAAGACAATAGTGTGATATCCACTCCAAATGAAATAGATTCTCAAAAAGACCACTGTACTATAGTCAAGGAATTTGCTTCACCTAAGAATAAAATAAATATGTTTTGAAGAATTGGACAGAAGGAGTACAGAGGCTTCAAGAATAATAAAAAAGAAAGAAAGGCTAACATTCTTGAAATGTTATCATGGGGGTGAAGATAACCTTGCTGGAATCTGCCTCCTAGAAAACAAACAAGTCTGAGTAATTTCTTCCATTCAGGGAAATATTCAGCATCTAAAGCTTTTTTATAACTCCTGCATGCTCAGGTGATAGGAGTGGTGAAGGGTCACACCAGACTTGCTGCTGTTTATGATAATACTCCAGCAGTGTACTTTTGGATTCCAGGTCAATAGGACAGGAAATTTCCCCCCCACCTCTCCTTTTGCAGTTCTGTATAATACTTTTTAAAAAACCTTGCTTGAATGCTGGATAGCTCTGTGTGTTAGATATCTGGCACAGAGCCGGAGGTCAGGAGTTGGATTTTCTAGTGTACTTCCCAGGAAAAGATCCTGCCTGTATAGCTTTAGACAAGCTGCACAATCCCAAGGCACCTCCAGAAGAGACCTAGTGAACCACTTTTTTGTACCCAATACTTAGAAAACGCTGGGAAGGGTTGCCATGAGTTGAGCAGCTTTAAGAAGAATAGATTTATTATAGCACAAGCTTTCAAGGATTATAATCTCCTTACATGGAGAACACTTTTAGCTATCAAGGTATAAACTGCATAATATTGAGGATATAGTGTGAGCACTGAGTAGCATTCAGTACAGAAGATATTACAATGAAAACTCATAAGTCCGAGGGTCAGGAAGTCTTAAAGATGCCATTAAATGCTTTGTTATTTGAAGGTCAAACTATAGTTAATGGAGAGCACATTGTTAACAGCTGAAGTCATATTATTATTCTGTACCTTCTGTCTAAACAATAATAATTGCAAATAACACCTGTGTTTACCTTCCTCCTGCCCAATGACCAATAATAAAACAAAGCAAGGTAATTTGCAAATATCCAATGGTGTGAAAAAACTCATACTATGGACCTTATATGTTTCAGCACTCAAAGAATTCCATCTTCAAATGTATCATATAGTTTGACCCTTACTTTTTAGAAAGTGCTCCTGTGAGCAGACAAAGACAGCACTAGCCACTCTACCTCATAGTGGAATTAATTTTTCCTTAGAAACCCAGGTAGATTTAATACAAATTACTCCCTGGTAAGTGAGAGTAGGACTGCAGCTTAATGACTTCGAATTCTGCTACTGCTGAAGCTCTCTTATTAGCCATCAACTCACCTTTACTAGCAATGTTTGCCATTTGAATGTGAATGCGTTCTTGCTATATGAGGACACCGTGAAACCAGGATTAAGGTACTTTGTCAGGTACAATCTTAGGAGTTATATTTCCAAAGGATTATTTGGAATTTGAGTCCCTTTCCTAACTGGCTTTTTAAAAATTAGCTTACATTTTTGTTTTCCTATTCAACATTCATCTTTAATTGCTATTACCATGCAATCATCTGCCATTCTTTCCTTTTTTTCATAGTGCTGTTTGGTGAGGTAAACCTTCACCATAGGCAACATTATTTTAATCAGCTGTGCTGCAAGCATTTGATGCATAGTATTACCAGTGTTTTCTATCAGCCATATTTATGAGACAATGAAGTGGAATGCTTTTGTTTACTTATAATATGATTTTTTAAAAAATGCCTACAGTAAGGAAGCATCTATGTTGTCACTGGTAGTGTCTTCATTTCAGCATAATATGCTGCAAGAAATGAGTGCTGTTCTTGTGGACAGTAATGTGTTTGGGCTTTCAGGCATTATGCCACACAAGATTATGCACACAGAATGGTTCATCTTTCACTGCTAGAGATGGGTTTTTTTGTGCACGAATACCCCCACAGGTGGAAATAACGAGGGTCCAGCCCCATGGGGCCGGATTGTTCACTCAACATTCCGCCACTGACACGAGCTCGATGAAGCCTTCCTTGTGCCATTGTCTGCAATAGATTAGCCACTCCTCCATAGGGCAGCCATTTTCCGCTCCCTGTCTTGCGAAATGAGGTCAGCAAAACAGCGGGGAGCCATTTTGAGAGCCGCCGATCAGCTATTTTAAAATCCTCGTGAAGCGTCGTAAAGCAGAAAAACCCCATTTGAATCATTGTTTTGCAATCGCTATAGTGATTGCAAAAACGTCATCGTCAAGCGATTTCATTGTCTACCGGGGTAATCGTCAAGCGGGGCACCACTGTATTTGTATCCATATACGAATACGAATGTCCCCATCTCTAATCACTGCAGCAGGGTGTGAAACAACAGTGGGCTCTCTTTAATAATTAGGGGTTAGTTTAAACCCAGTGTGATGTACCGCAGTGGTTCCAACCTTGGGTAACCCAGGTGTTCTTGGACTGTAATTGCCAGAAACCCTGCAAGCACAGTTGGGAGTGAAGGCTTCTGGGAACTCTAGTCCCCAGAACACCTGGGTTACCCAAGGTTGGGAACCAGTGGTGTAGCAGACAAGAGTGACAGACTTAAGACTCTGGAAGGCATTGTTTCGAATTCCCACTCAGCAAAGGAAACTCACTGGGGACACTCACTTACCTTGGAAACCCTACTAGCGTTGCTCTAAGTCCGATCTGACTTGATGGTAAATAACAAGAGCAGCAGCATCTTAAACCTTTAACTCCTAACCAGGACCAGCCCAGCTCCACGGTAAGCCTCTGGAGTAGCAAATATGTTTCTCGTCCTTCTTTCCTTGGTTGTTGGTGCTGCCTCACTCCCCTGTCACAGCCTACTCTGGTGCTGCAGGCAGTTCTCCAGAGCCAGGTATGTTTTTAATGCCTGGCTCCAAGGACAGTCAGAGCCCAGGTAGTTATCAGCAGCCTGAGCTGGAGAGAAATGCTTCTGCTGCAAAACACGTAATTTCTGAGGTAATCTCTCCCCTATTGCCTTGATCCTGAAGACTCCTCAGAGTCAGGAAGTTAAAACATAGCTAGCTGTAACTGGAATAATGTACAGTATTTGACATAAAATGTTAATTTAATTTTAATTGCTAGGCTGACCAACTTCAGGTTAGTTGCCTGTGTTGTTCTGAAAAAATTAAAATAATGATGATAGTTTAAATATGATGATGGTTAATGGGCAGTTAAAATTAGAGATGACCCATTTTAATGGAATTCTAATAAAATAATCTATTATTATTACTCTTCCAAGGTAAATAAATAGGTTGCTTTCTTTCTATTGTTCTGAACACCAGATTTTAATGGTTTTTAAAAACAAAATACATATGCTGTTACATAGCATACCACAGTTCTCAACAATAAGTACCATCATTTAGACTAGTTGGAATTCTAATTTTGTCAGTACTACTTTACGCATTATTTTGATATAATAAAATTCCAAGAATGAATTATAAACATAATGTTGCCATCTTAAAACTGCTTTTCTATAAATTGTAGCTCAGACAGAAGTACAAAGTTATTGTTTTATCAAAATATACAAAGATAACGAAGCTAATATTTTCATATGAATTACCCAATGATAAAAAATATTTGTAAAATTATTACTATATATAAATATTACATATTATTTTGCTTTGGTCTAGAATCATTATCATATTTGCAATTTTAGGAAAAACCACCAGTTTCTTCTTTTGAAATACGTCACTAAAGTTAGGTTATATTTTTGAACTGAAAGAATCTGAAACCAAAGCAGCTATAGAACAACCCTCAATTTTTTTTAGTATAGAATTAATTTTTTTGCAATTCTGATATCAGTTATGGGATGTTTACTTTCTGTTATATTCTTGCAAAATAAAAGTCAGATAGGTTTAGGATAACTATACTATAATTATATGTGTAATGCAATTGAAGATAGATTTTAAATGTATAAACATGAAAATACAAGGGGTTAAAATCCAATGTTAGTCCTGCGCTAAATCAGTTTAAATCCCACTCATTTCAATGAGTCATCTCTAAGCAGAATTAATTTTGGATTTAGCCCAGAATCAATGTCAGATGTAGTATTTTGAACATTCTTTCTAGGTTTCTCATGCTATGATAAAATGTAAACTGTAGATTCTACTTTCACTCTTTCTGAAACTTTGAAATGTATTAATTTTCTTTTTCATCGAATTAATATTTTTCTCAATATGTTTAATAAAACTCTTTTCCTGAATTTTCTCTTGATACTTTGGCTCATTTTAATTTAATCCCACATCAACACTATTAATTTGTTGCCATCATTATATAGGTATAAAGTAAGAGGCAATAAACATTCAGAAAACAAGACTTGTAGTATGCTTAGACAGGTAAACCTCTTTCTATACCTAAATATATGACACCATCTAGCTTGAGTAATACCTGTGAAAAAGTATAGCCAACAGATTAAGACCAAAGATGTTCTTCACTTAAGTTCATTGTCTGCTGTAGAATCTTCCAATAATTGCATGCTAATGTTGATTATCTTTTCTCTGATGCATTGTCAAATGGAGACATCCGAACCTATATATCCAGAATCAGAAGTGCACAACTAGATAGGAAGAGTAATCATAGCAGTATAAAGACCTGATGGTGGCAGAAGATTTATCCTATACATCAGGATAATCAACCATTCAATTCTATAGGTACTTATGAGTAAAGGTGCCCCTAAACTCACATTTCTGTAGGCTTTTCAAAAAGGGAACACAAATCTTCTTGCCCAATAGACTGAAGATCCATTTGCTTCTTCCCAGAATTATGCAGGGAATTCATACCTTCTCTATATGTAGATGGAAAGTGTAGTCATTTGCTAAAGGGAAGACAATATCCAGGCTTTTGCAGGGTCATCAGAATTTTTATAGAAATATTCTGCAATCTGAAGATTTATAAGTTCCAGATGTATTAAGGAAGCGTTGAGCTGTCCCTGGAATAATGAAGAATTTCTGTAGTTGCCTGAGTTTTTATACTGGTTAAAAAGATTTGTTAGATACAGTTTTAAGTGCCTTCAGATGGAATGATAGAAGTAGACTGCCTTTCCTTCCTCCCCTTCCCAGCTCTAGCCATGGATTTGCCTAATCTTCATGATCTCCCCACTTTCTCCTTGAGTCTGCTTATTCCATCAATAGGGCCTGCTGACCTGCTGTGCAGCATTTTCAAGGCCTCAGTGGGTTGCTATGAAGAGTCAGGGGCAGGGAATTTGACTTCCACCAGCCAAGTTCCATGCTTGCAAATCTGAATCTAATGTTATGTACTGAAGGAAATATATAGTGGACAATGAAAGAAGCAGAAAGAAGAAATGAGCAAAAAAATTCAGTTCAGCAATCTTTCATGTAGACATTTCCATGAGTCCTTAAGATTCTCAATGGATTGTGTATGTTCCATGTAATTTGTACAAATTAGTTACATGGGCCTGTGTCACAATATGCTGCTGAGGCATTGAGGCAGACAGTGAAACGAACCCATCTGAGAAGCTTGTCATGATATGCATATTGTGCCTAAGAAGTATGTCAGCTGCGTAATCATAAGTGCATGTTAAACCCTAAAGCACAATCCAATAAAGTCAAGTATTTCAGTTTAATCACCAGTCCTATGCTTTTGGCAGCAGTGAGAAAACAATATCAATAGAGAGTGGTGAGAAAAAGGAGAGAATTTTACCTAAACTGGTGACTTCTAGATGATGTATCTTCTGGCTATCCAGCTGACACCTCACATTATCCATAGAACCAAAAAGGTCATGCACCTCCGGCATAAAGACTTAAAGCCACCTTCCTGCCTGCCATCAGCTTAGGACTCTTTATGAACATATACAGGGACACATTACATTCTAGTGTGTAATCTCTGAATTCCATTGGAAGTCCCATGAGTACATCTCATATATGCATCCAGCTATCCTTTTCCTCCCTCAGTCCTTGTAGGTTACCCATATTAAGAAGAGAGTTACTGTAACTTTTGATTATACCTGTGGAACATACATAAGCTATTCTATGAAAATTGTGTCTTGAATATATATGGATGGACAAGGACCAGGATGAAAGTGTAAATTCGTTTCTATCTGTGTAGTTGCCCATGGTGAATGGATCATGCTCCCAATATTTAATCTTCATTTGGTTATTGATCAAGCTGTCCATCTGACTTCACTAACATATAATGAGCCTATGACATATTGCAATGTACTCCTAATAATATACAGTATATGTATTTACTTATTATTAATTGGTGTTATTATTACAATTGTTCTGTTCCTCATAATTAGCCTTTAAAACGTTAACTCTGTAACAACACATTCAGGGTTTAGAATAGCTGGATGCATTTTTATTTCAAATATATATATATTTTAGAACCTTTACCAGTTGCTATACAATATACACATTAGACTACAGCTAAATCAAAATTTCAAACTGCATTATTGAAGATTGAGCAAATTAAGTTAAAACCCCAGAGTGGAATACAGGGTGTGGTTTCTACCATTTCTAGAGTGAACCTCTAATATTGTTATATTCTCAATCTATATGCTTTTATCTTTTGTCCAAAATGGCTAGGCTCTTAACATCCACATCATAATCTTATGCAATAATGAATTACATACAATATTATTTAATACTTTTTCACATAATGCATATTCTTGTTTTAGCTACAGACTTTCTTCTATGAAACACAATAGTTTTTAAAGTTTCTCTTGGGCCTCCATAAGAACAAGAAATATTATAGGATTTCCATTTTTGCTTTTATGGCACTTTTTCATGTGGTACATGAAATATATTTAAATGCAATAATGTTTCTCAAGTTTTCTCGTAGATATGCATTTTTTCATTATTTGCTCATACTTATAGTCCTTGTAATTTCTTTGTCTGTTGTAAATTCTTCTTGCTCGAAGCCCAACAATGGATGTGATATTCTGAAGACTACTTGGTCCACACTCATCTGCATCAATTACATTTTGAGTTAGTAAAGGTTTGTGTGTTTTTTGTCCATCTGAGTCAATAGAATATGGACTTTCAAAAGATTTAGTACTTTCATTTAGCAAATAATCTGCTTTCTCCTCTTGCTTAGGATTTTTGAATAAATGCTTTTTCTGATGCATCCCAAGAGCAGCAGCTGTCTTGCAGACTTTGGGGCACTGAAAACATGCATATCCTTTCCCATTCTGCTCATGCTTATGCCTTTGCTCATGATTCCTTTTGGTAGAAAGGTATAAGAAACTCTGGAAGCAAAACTGACAGTGGTAGCGCTTTTCCCCTGTATGGATTCTCTCATGTATTTTCAGTGTTTCATTTAGACTGAATGCCTTGTTACAGTACTGACAGATAAAATCCTTTACACTCGAGTGGGTACGTTCATGCTTCTGTAAGTTTCCTGAGATCGAAAAGCTCTTTCCACAAGTCTTGCAGGGATAGGGCTTCTCTCCTGTGTGGCATCGCATATGCAGTCTTAGAGCAGATGGACTCTGGAAGTGCTTTTGGCATAACTGACAAGTATAAAACTTGGAAGTAGTTGTGTCCCAGTGTAAGTGGTCCTGGGTATCTTCATTTGAAGGGTTTTCTTTTTCACAGAGTTCGCAGTGAAGACTTGGCATTTCATGATCCTTGTCTTGATTCGGGAGCTTTTCTTCGGGAATGTTCCTAAGTGCATAACTTGTGACATGCATCTTTTCATTGGCTCTGCTGGAATTTCTGCTCCTGTATCTTTCTCTCCATTTTGCCTTTCTCATTTTTCTTAACTGCTTTGATTTCTTTTTGGGTTTGTAATTGTAATATGGTCGCCATGGTTTATCACTGGAGTCATGGTCACTAACATCATCACACATTTCATTGAGTTCTAGGTACTCTGATTTACAAACTCGAGACACACTTCTCTCCCGTTTCTCCCGTTCCATAACCTGAACTGTATAATCTTCTTTAGGTTCATATTTTGATCTACTGCCTTTTTTGTAAAATAATTTGGACCCCAAAATATGTCGTTTCACAATGGCTTCATTCCCTATTTTAACTGTTATTTGACAAAGTGGAGCAACATTGCTATCAGCAGATGTTCCTGGCAACGCAGGTTTGGCAATGTATGTTTCAGTCTTACTTGAGATATCTGTAGATGTGTTTGAAGACAGTCCTGTATTTCCGATATATTCTAATTCCTCTGATGTCTCTTCTCTGTTGTAGGACACTTTCTTTTTCTCCTTATTGCTTCTTAGTCTAGCATTGCTTTTACTATCATCCGGACCATGTGTGTTGTCCTTGGTTGCTTCTTGGCTGGTTGTAATGTCTGGGATTCTTGTATCTATTGCATTGATGGCATTGCTATGCATTATTACAGATGAAATTCTACCACTATGTACTATGACAGACGATGCTGAATTACTATAACTAATAACAGAGGTTGAATTTTCAGTGGTGTTGCTGCTGCTAACTTTTTGAAGACAGGAATCATATTCATGAGCATCAGAGTTAAGTCCCGTGGAGGATAATTGTGTCCCAGTAGTACAAGTATCTGTTTCTGATACACCAGCTTCCCAGGCAATGTTTGGAGGGTTCATAGGTGCTGCTGTTGCATCACTGCATGAAGATATATCCAAGGAAATAGTTGTGTTTGGTAACATACTGGGTGGGAAATTCAGTGATGGCAGTTCAGAAGCAACAGTGTTTTGAATAATGCAGGTGCTAGAAGGCGCTTCATTAACACTTGATTGTATATTTTCATATGATGAGGTTTCATAGCTCTTATACTGTGACCTTTTGCATTTCATAGGCAAAAGCCTATAAAGTTTGTATGGATATACACTTGGCTTCAAGCCACCATTTGCTGTTTTCTTATTTACCCCAAGTCGATGATCAATTGCGTGGAAAGATTTTTGGTGGTTTTTGAGAATGTAATATGTCATAAATGTCTCAAGGCAGAAAATACACTGGTACCGCCTTTCTCCTGTGTGCCAAACTTCATGTCTTGTACGGTATTCTGCTAATGCGAACACTTTGTTGCAGTAATGGCATGGGTACGTTCTTCTCCATGAATGAACATTTGAATGTCTTCGAAGGCTAGACAGAGTAACATAGGTTCGTTTGCAAACACTGCAAGTGTAAAGTACTTGTCCATCAACAACTTTGACAAAGTGGTCTGTTTCTGGCATTGTCACAGAATAATCAGCAAGTTCATTGTCTGTCACCATGGGCTCTGGGCTTAAATAGGAAGAGCTGTTTTTTTCATTTGTAGTAGCAAAATTATCCAAGGAATTTTCATTTTCACAACTGTCCAATCCCCTGGACACACACTCATGTGCCTCTAGTCCAGCAGCACTTTCAAATGCTTTGCTACAATGTTTGCAAACTAATGGTTCTTGAGGTTGTGAATGAAGCTGCAGATGTGTACCACATTGAGTATAAACATGTGGAATGACTTTAACAATTGATCCAGAAACATGGTCAGATTTATTTTCATTTTTGTCATTCTCATTCTCAGTATTTGGGTGAGACTTTTGCAAAGAAATTGTGTGATCAGTTGCTACATTTTGATGACCTTCTCCATTAGTTCCTTTGTGAGCTGATATCTGAACTGAAATTGTATCAGTGGTATGGGGATTACAAATTCGCTTTGCAGTACTAAATGTTTGTGTTACTGATTTGGCAGTAGGCACTGGCAGACCAATATCAGAATTATCTTCATTTGCTTTACAATGTGGACTATTTTCATGATAAAAGGAATTTTGTTGAAAAATATCACACCCTGTAGTAACAGCATAGGAATGTTCAGCTAATGTACTGGTTCGCTCAACATCTTTGCAAGAGTCATTTCTCTCAGTACCAATACTGGATGCTTTATTTGTTTCAGGCAATTTTTTAAAATTTGCCCTCAGGTCAAGAGGAGAGAACAAAGTGCTACAGTTTTCAGTCTCAAAAATTGAGTATGCATTTGTGATTCTTGGTCCACTTGTGATGGCTGAGTCTTCTTGCCTTTTTTCTTCTTTCACTTCACCCTTTTCATTATTGCAAAATGAGTAAAGACTGGGTGAATTTGAAAAGCTCTTGTCTGTAAGATCTTCTAGAAATGATATTCCTAGTTTTTTCCCTGCAGCTGCGAGGTCTAAAACAGTCTCCTGTCTTTTAACAATTATTGTGGAACTGTAGATATAATTAAGAATTTCTGTGAACACTTCAGCTTTGAGGTCATCTAGTTCCAATACATGTCCAGAAATACAAATTGCACGACTCCAAAAAATATTTTTGAAATAAAGGCTTGAAGCTGCCAGGACATTGCTGTGGGCTTTAAATTTGGTGTCTTCCACAATTATTGTGACATCACATAAAACACCCCGAATGCGTTGTTCATTTAAGATGGAGAGGACTGTGTCACTGTGGAAGTTATCTTTGAGATCCTTTATGTGGGTCATGATGGTCATCTGTTTAAAATAAGAGACATACAACAAGTTAACATTTAAATAGCAATGTTATGTCCTGTTCAGCAAACTTTCAACACTTCATTTTGAGACGCTATTTAACTGACAAGTACATGAGTCAAGCTTTAGTGAGAATAACATCGTTTCATATATATAGTAGAAAACTCAGTGTTTCTTCACCTGCCGGAAGATCATCAGCAGACCACCAATGGAAAATAAAGTCATTCCTGTAAAATCAGATAACTTCTAAAATATGCACAAAAATATTATTTGGATGAAAAGTCCTCCTTTCATCCAATTTAGTCAATGACGCTATGACTCCAGAGTCAAAATAGCCCCAATGACATCCAACTGCTTGTACAAGAGAAGTGAGAATACGAACCAGAAGAAGGAATGTTTAAGCTGAGAAGTTGGCCCAACTTCTTATAGCTTGAATATCAATGGTATAAGGAGTGTACTTGTGCTCAGTCTGGAGAACTTCTTAAGAGATGTTCTTTCCCCCTATAGCATTTGATACAAAGCACTCTTTTGGAACTTGTTTTAAACAAAGAAGCCTGGCTACACATCTGTTCTTGATTTTTGAAATGTTCTATATCGCCCCCAGCTCTACGGTACGCAGACTGATGAAGATCTATGTGGGGTTGAAAACTAGCTTATGTTTATGATTTTGTAGTAATCTAATAAATTTAATCCACCCTTGCCTTTGGATTGTGTACAAAGACCAGAAGGCTTTTCTTCTTCTTTTCTCTTTTGTGTGTGTTGTTGTTTAGTCGTTAAGTCGTAACTGACTCTTTGTGACCCCATGGACCAGAGCACGCCAGGCCCTCCTGTCTTCCACTGCCTCCCGGATTTGGGTCCAGTGTGTGGCTCCTCATAACTCCTTTTCGTAAATCACTCATTATCTGACAAACCTATTGCTTTTCAGTATGCATGATGGCTTTATTTCTGCCTGCCTGCCCTTTCTGGATTTGATTTCATTCCATTCTATCTATATAGAATAAACTGTATAGATAAACTCTGGGATCTTCTTTACTCAGTCTGCATCAGCTATATTCTCTCTAACTAGAAGAGAAATAAAAGGATCATGGTACCTTAAAGACTAACGGTTATATTCAATGTGAACTTTTGCGAATTATAATCCGCTTTCTCAAGTGCATGAAGTGAAATATCTAGCCATAGGTTAATATATAAACAGAGGGTGTGAGGACCTAGTAAAAAATGGATACAGGCATAAGAAATAAGACTAACAGCAGCAGTATTAATGCTACTAATTAGCTTTGAGATCGAGTGTATAATTAACAGAGTAGTTAATCATCTAGCATAGGCCAAGTTCACTTGTGATGTGCAAAAATTTAGAACCTGGGAAGTGGCTTCCATTTTTCTGAATCAACTTCTCATTCTGTGGCTAGATTCAGTAACTTTGTGTATGAGATTGCAAAGAAAAACTGACTTTTCCTTTATGTTTCTGGACAAGTTGATTATAATTCATGAAAAATTACATTGTTAGTCTTTAAATTCCCACGTATACATTAAGTAAACAGGGGGACAATATACAGCCTTTTCATACTCCTTTCTCAATTTTGAACCAATCAGTTGTTCCATATCCAGTTCTAACTGTTGCTTCCTGTCCCACTTATAGGTTTCTCAAGAGATAGATAAGGTGGTCAGGCACTCCCATTTCTTTAAGAACTTGCCATAGTTTGTTGTGGTCCACACAGTCAAAGGCTTTTGTCTTACGGTCTCACATCTAAATGTGGCTCACCTGGAATATAGGCTTGGATGTATTAGTCTGTCAGGTACAGAATTATGGGATTTGTACTAAAAAAAATTCCAAAAATCTCATGCCTACCTCCAACTTATCCTCAAATTAACTCATGATCCTGCCTAGATTGCTGTGCCACAGAAGCCTGATCCTGCAACTGAATGCTGTGCTAATCCCCAATTAAAAGCTTTCCTGGAAAGATGCCTCCTGACAATTAAACCTAAGAACCCAGTTATTGTGTAACTTTTGGCTAAGGGAATGGTGCTGTTATAGATTATTCCTGCACACAATAAAATAAATTTGTAGAATATTTAGTGTATTGATATATTAATTATAAGAATCATATCCGGCTTTAAAAATAGACATTTTATATCACTTTAGAAGGGAAAACAAAATTGAATCTTACGTTTTCCTCAACAGCATCAGCTATCATTACAACACTTATCCCAACTATATTAGGATGCTGAAGAAGAACATTACAGAATCTGAAACTCCAGCAAAGAATGATATTTGATCAATTACATTTGCCATTATCAGGAAGTATCATTTCGTTTGTTATGAAAATTACCTTCTATTTTAAAAATTATTTTTCCACATAGGAATTAAATGGATGTTGCAAGTGTATGTATATGCTATTACATGAACTACAACTAAACAAACAACCTATGGGGATTAACATAAAATAAAACAATTTGCATTTCACAAGATCACTGCTCTTGTACAGTCACACTACGTAACTGTTGGAGGATTCCATCCCCTATGGGCACTTATGATGAGGCAACACTGAAAATGCTCAGGATGGTTCGAGACCAAATAGGGTAGTAAATGTTATCCACTTCAGTTGGTTTAAGGTGTATAGGACCCAAAGCCACCCAAGTTATGTGGCACACGATACAGGAAATCTTGCCAATGCCCCATATCTAGCATAATTTTATCAGGCTAGAAATGCAGTGCTTGCAAGATATTCTAGCATAAAAATGCAATATCAACAAATAAGTAGCTATTTACTGCCCATTTGTAATGTTAAAAAAGTCTGCAGCCTGAGGCTGTGTCTTTACTCTGCCTAATATTAGAGACTGGCGCAGGAAGGACTAACATTTCCAAAATGGCATTTTCCACAGAGATAATCCTTAAGAACATCTTGTTTCTTTTCTGGAATCAGGGCCTTCCATACTTATAGATGTAATTATGAATAATCAGGGCATTGGAAATTATCTTTTGTAAATTACCCAAAGGCACATTGGAAATAGTACATATTAAAAGTGTTTATATGTGAATTCCAAAATATAGTGTGAAACAGTTTTATTAATATGTTGATTACTACTAATATCCAGCACATCAAAACTAAATTCACAGTTCACACAAGTACTTCCTATAGGAATGTACTGATTTATTCTTCCTTGGTTGGTCAGATTCAGGATTATAGGCAGGTGTTTCTTCATAATAAATAGGCACCCAGTTAATATATATTTCTACTCTCCCCATAAAGAAACAAGATTTTTTAAAATGAGGAACAATAAATAAGTCTAAAAAGGAAATAAATGGATTTATGATTTCCTCTAATGGAAATTGTACAGAAGCCTTATATTTTTTAAGGAATTAGCAACAGCCTTCGGCACATATCTACTGTACCAAATCTGTATTTTAAAAAAACATTCTTAGTATTTTTAGTTGCAAAGACTTGTTAATATGCTGATTACTACTAATATCCAGTACATAAAATCTTTGCATGAGAGACCAAGAAGCCAAAATGAACATGCTGCTTTGAATACAATTTGTGGCAAAACCAAATAGGCCTGTTTTCTATTCGTCTTTTTCCAGTTAAATACCTCAATAGTGGGCTGAAGAAACTGAAAGAGCTGAGCCATCAAAACTCACAAGATCATTGACATACTGAAGCCAACAAAGGAAGAACAACAGTAAATGTAAAAAAACACACCACATTTTTTAAATTAATTCAGAAGCAGGAAGCATTCAACTTTTAGAACTTAAAGTGGGGTAGAGATTTGAGAGAATATAAAAGCAGAATGCATTTGGATTTTGCTGTAGGAAAATGATAGCAAAACTCCAATCCCATGTTTGTAAGTCCCAGTGAGCTGAACAGGACTTACTTTTAGGTAAGGATGCATAAAACTACAGAAAGAGAATAAGAAATTTCAGTGTTTGACTGAGGAAAAAAATCCTTTCAGGAAGTAATAAAATATGAGCATCATAGTCTGTTTGTACTGGGACATATATAAGAATGGTATATGCACATAAAGGAAATTCATATCAGAACTTGAAAAAAAAACTTGCTTATTTGAACCAACAGTGTGATGAAAAGGCAAAAAAAGGCAAATGCTATTTTGGGATGCATTAACAGAGGTATAGTCTCCAAAATCTGTGAGGTACTAGTCTCCCTTTATTTAACACTAGTTAGGCCTCATCTAGAGTACTATCTCAAGTTCTGGACACCACACTTTTAAGAAGGATGCCAACAAACGGGAAGCATTCAATGAACAACCTCTAGCTCAAGTTCTGGACACCACACTTTTAAGAAGGATGCCAACAAACGGGAAGCATTCAATGAACAACCTCTGGATTTGGATTCCTGCATTGAGCAGTGGGTTGGACTCAATGGCCTTCTTTTCACTTTCCAACTCAATTATTCTATAATTTTATGTTTCTATAACTACAGCTTCCAAAATTCCCTAGCCAACCTAGGCAACAGCCATGCTTGTTAGGAAATTGTGAGAGTAGTAGTCAAAACAGAAATTCTCTGAAGCGATGCTAAACTGATATTTTCATAAACAGAAACAAGGAAACTGTTACAAATGGCTGGGAGTACAGATGGGGGTATTCGTGTTTGTATACGAATATCCTTGCACAGGTGGAGTTAATGAGGGTCCGGCCCCTGGGGCTGGACTGTCCACTCACTCATCCACTGGCCCCCAGCTCTTCCTTCCAATTGCTCTGGAGCTCCCGGTCAGCTAGCCATTCGTTGGCCTTGCAGGGAGACTCATCTTCTCTTTTTCTGCCAGGAATGGCTAGCCGACCAGGTGCTCCGAAACGATTGGAAGGAAGAGCGAGGCCGGCAGTGGTGGCCGACATATGAGTGGACAGTCCGGACCCAGGGTGTGAGACCCTCATTAACTCCAGCTGTGCAGGAGTTAACAAACACCCCCATCTCTAGCTGGGAGATATTTATCCCAAAACACATTCAGATGTATCTTGGGGTAGTAAAAAGTCCTAAGAGCACAATTACATGTGTCGCTGCAGATGAGGGGCACACCATTTTATTTTCTTGTGTTCTGGGACTTCTATTTAATTCTAAAAATTTCAGTTGGTTGAGAGAAGAAAGCACCCCAGTGACAAAAGTCAATCACAAACATCTTCAAATATCTTTGTCCGATTACAGTAGAACCTGAAAAAGCCACTTTTTAAGACTACTGTAGGATCACTGTTTTTACTCCCTGACCTATATGGTAGGCTGGCTTCTGTGTAAATTCTACAATGAAAACTGTGTCTGAGGTAGGATTTACCCCATATTCTTGGAGGAAGGACACATCATAGTTTAAAGGTAAGACTCAACGTCTATGTAGATGCTATCAATAAACAAACAAACAAACAAATAAATAAAGCAACTACCGATAGATTATTTTATTAAATATTGTATATATAAGTATAAACTTAAATATAAACTATAAATACAAACACTAAGCAAGTTATTAATCTGCTCCCCTGTCTTTTATATTCTTTGTAATGCTTTCGTCAAATGTTATCAATAAAATTCTGATTTCCCTCTGATATTAAAAGTGGCAGTAATGTACATCTATCAGCTATTGTAACCATCTGACTTTCACAGCATTTTCCAGCTATAAAATTATAGTTATGGTACACACAAAATATGTATGTAATTCCAATTAATAATGTATATATTATGGTTGTTCTGGGTTTTTCGGGCTCTTTGGCCGTGTTCTGAAGGTTGTTCTTCCTGACGTTTTGCCAGTCTCTGTGGCCGGCATCTTCAGAGGACAGCAACCTGTCACAGAGACTGGCGA